GGCTACGGGCCCTGCGCTGGAGTTGCCTCGGGCTCCCTCTGGCAGCCTTTCCCCCGGGTTGCGCCATGCGCTGGAGATGCTCTTAGTATGCAGTTATGAACAACTAATTGTTTGTGACCAATTTTTTTTTCGTATGCTAGTTATTAATTCGTATTGTTAGGTCACTAGCGAGACGAGTCATAAATTTAGTCGTCAAAAAGGTTTTCTTTTGTATACAACAAAAAGAATCGAACTCTTATCCTAACGTATTTTAAGGGCACTTCCAGCAGCCCCTTAGGGCTCGGGCTGGGGGGGGAAGAGCCCAAAATTAAGTTCCCCCTTGCCATGGCAAGAGTTTCACTGCTAGAAGTGCCCTATGAGCTCAAAATATCTTATGACATGATTTGCCGAGCTATCTGTTACATTTCTTTCCCATTTTCACGACGCTTTCGTCTTCTGTGCTAGGGGTGAGAAATGGTAAGGCCATACGATATGAAAATTTCTTTGTTTTGGTAATCAATCCAAATAGTTTCATTCTTTCATTTAATTTCTTGTTAAAATATTTATTTGGTGTTCCTTTTGGTAAATTATTGTGGCAAAAGAAAATGGACAGGCTATCAAGGTTGACCTTTTTCTGCCCACAAGACAGGCTTTATTAAAGGCACGAAGAAAAAACCTATGGAACTGGGTATTGACTTCTGGCTTTAATTAAAAAAAAAAAGGGAAACAAGACATGTTTCCATGTACTAGTTTGTTCCCATTTGAAGACATTGTGATCTAGCTTGTCTAAACTTATACCTTTTTTTTTTTCTGATCCAAAAGATACTTCATTAAGCCAAAAGGCAAGGCACAAAACAAGGATACAACAAGGAAAAGGAACAAACCTAAGCTAGAACCAACTTGGTGCAAAAAGAAGTTCCCAGACCTGGATTCAAAAAAAGGAAAATATGGCCTAGGAAGGCCATCAGAAGTTAAAACCCGAACAATTGAAGGTGGTGGACAATTAGTCCAGTGTATTATACCCACCGTCTGCAATCTTCGCAGCCATGTGAGCTGCTTGATTTTGGTTACGTGGGATCCGTCGCCACTCCACAAAAACAATTCATTATTAAAAGCAATTCATTATTAAAGTTTTCAAAGTTGAACTTCAAACTCACGTACTTTTGTTTAGAAAAAAGAAAAAAGTTTTGTTTAGTTAAGACAATTTAATAATATTTTATTTTATTTTTATTGAATATGTTGAATTAAAATATATTTTAAAAAATATATATTATTATTATTATTATATTTTAATATAAATTTTTAATTGCCGTATCCATGACGTATCGTATCCTAGTTTTTGGAGATTTGTCGTAACCCCGTATCGTGTCGTATCGTATCGCCGTATCCGTATCCGTGTCCGTGCTTCTTAGCTAGGGGCATAATAAAATCGTGTGCTCAATTGATTCATCTTCCAAGTCACATATTGGGCAGATTGGAGAGACCGAGGATTGTTGGTAAAATAAACCAAATTGATGTATTTGAATCAAGTGGTAGACAATCAAATTATCTCCATTTCACATCTCTTCCAAATGTGTGAGTGAGCTACTTCTCTTCCTTTTTTTTTCCACATCTCCTAAGAGAGGCTTTTAAAATACAAATGTGCAAATAAAGAAACCCAGCTATAGGCTGCAAAAATAAGTGGGCTGCCTTTGTTGCCAAAAAGTTAAGACTTTTGAAAAAGAAGGGGAGGCCACCTTCCCGAGAGAGGGAGAGAGAGAGAGAGAGAGAACCTCCTTGGCCTCATTAAGGTTCAAAAAATGGTCGTTGGAGGTCTTTTAAGAGCACTTCCACCCACAATAGGGAAAAAGCAAGGGAAAGGGCAGGCAGGGCCTGCCACTATTCACGTGAATAGTGTCAGCCTTTGCATTTGTAGTTCCATCCATGAGAGCTAAGTCTAGGGCAAGTCTAAGGCAAATACTATTCATATGATATATGAGGAGATGAATTTGTATATAGTTTTTGGTGTGGGAAGTAAAGAATATGCCTAGGTATTTATTTAAAAAAATTCTGGAATTTTTGGTTTTTTTTTTTCCTTTTTTTCCTTTTTTTTTTGTTGCTGATGTCATTATGACGTTAGCATTGCATCAGTTTGCCCTGGCAGCAGCTCGGGCTGAATTTGCCCGTGGGCTTGCCTAGGCTCGTGGGACCCAGCTCTTGCCAGGGCTGGCCCTTGCGCGCTGGAGTTGCTTCCTTCCCCCCGGGCTGCCTTTTGCCCGGTTTTGAAGCAAGGGTGGGCTTGCTCTAAGTGGACAATCAAGGCTCATCAATGGTGGTTGGCTTTCTTTTCGTAAGAAATTAGGAACGTTTACTCGCGCATTCAAAGTCTTGTTTTAATTTCTCACTCGCTCTACTCATACCCATACTCACATGTTAACACGTAAATCTCAGGCACAAAAAACCTTCTATAAGCTAAACGTCAATTGCTTTATTAATCTTCATGATGGGTTAGGCATCAAAATCTTATTCATATTGTTATTGAAGGGGAGATTCTAGTGATTGACATGCTCTCAGAAACAAACTTCCAGCACCTTGGGGTCGTAGGGTCTCATTAAGTCATATATAATCTTCAAAGGCGCATGTTGAACCTTGGAAGAAACCGCAACTCTGCTCCTTTTAGTATGTTTTTTTTTGTAAAAGTTAGAAAAATGATGAGGGAAATTTACACACAGATAGATTGGGGCTTGAACCTATCGTCTTGGTGAGAAGAGCACAGATAAATGTAGGTTTATTACCGTGGACCTGGTTTGTAAAATTATATATATTTTTTCAATAATAAAAATGAATTTAGTTAAAATGTAGGTTTGGGTGTGGAGATCAATTCTTGATCAACATAGTGCAATGAGATACACTTGTCTTTGGGCTCCAAATACTAGAGAGGCCCAAAGGAAGTGGTAGCGTAGAAGTCACAACTGAGTGAAGAATAAGATGCTAAAGTAGTAATTAAATGGTATATACGTAGCGTCAAGTCAATTAAACTAAATAAAAGCGCACCAAAAACGCTAACACAGAAAGCGAGCGGGCGAGAATCGGCTAGAGAGAGAGAGAGAGAGAGAGAGAGAGAGAGAGGAGTCAGAATAGTGAGAAAATCCATTTGCCGAAGATTTCGATTTTAGGGTTAGGTTTTAGGGTTTTGAACTTAGAAGCCATGTCGACGATCACCAACAAAACGGCACCGTCTCAGCAACCCCAGCAGAGCAATGCCAAGCCAGGTCTCAGGAAGCCCGTCTTCACCAAGGTCGAGCTCCTCAAGCCAGAGACCAGTGGCCACACCCTCGTCGCCAAGGTCCTCACCTCCAACCCTGTCTTGCAAAAGGGCCGATCGGTCTCT